CCAAGCCATTTTCACCGAGCTGAGTGACAGTCACGGAGGGTATAGAGAAGGGCTCATTAGAGCAGCAAATTCAGAATGATGCATAAAGCAGCAATAACCGGTCCCCTAAACTCCCTCAGCGCTTTGACACCAAACAGCTCTCCGGAGTGAATGTCGGAAGGGAGCATTTTTCCCTCGTCTTTCCAAGCAGAAAATGATCAAATGCCCGCCAGCCAGGGCTGGGCAATTATTTCCAGACCCTGCTAATGCAAGAGCTCTCTCCCAGTGTAAGGACAGAGTGCAGATTGCTCTGTCGCCCTCGCTCCTTGTGTAGGCTGGGGGTGTCATGTCTATTTTTCTCAGCCTGACTGAAGACTTTGGAAGGCAGGTACAGAAGGTGAGACAGAGGATTGATTAGGATGCTCCTGGCTCTCAGAAGTACCCACCAGCATGTGAACCATGGCAAACTTCACACCCTACAGAGCAGGAAGCACTCACCCTGTGAGTCTGCCATCCTTTCTGTTTTTCACTGGGCATTAGAGGAAAACAGAATTTTTGTTATTAAATCCACCTGGCATTTATAGCCCCTCTCCTTTCCTCCCCTCAGACATTCCAGTTACAAGGATGCGAGTGGGATGCCTGATGTAAACCAAGGTCAGTGGGTGCTGATGAACTTCTTCACAAAGCAGACCAGGCTGTGAGGCAGCTGGACCACAGAGTCCTGTGCAGAATTTGGCCAGACTGTCACGATGCTTGATTTGTTTTTATACATTGTTTTCAATCTTAAACCTAGGAATCTTAACTAACTTCCAATTACATTTCTGTTTTCTATCAGCTGAGTAATATTTGAATTAATATTGAATTTAATATTTGATGCATGTGCACCTTTCCATCATGGGCAAGATGAGTTGATGGAGGACCATCGATAAAACTCAGTGCTCTTCAGTTAAAAATACTCATTCCCTCTTTCCAGCAATGCAAACCCCAATCTAATCACACAAGGAAAGGATCCTGACAGTTTGTTTCCATTTTTAAATCAGGCTGCTTGGCTTGTAGCACCTCTTCTAATTTTTTGCAGTTTTCAACGAATGCAAACTAACATTAGAACAGGAAAAATGCCATCTGTCACCTCAAATTCCTTAAAATCAGATCTATGCTTCGTTTTGGTTGAAGAACTCCCCCCTGAGCTTTATTTGTCAGCCCCTTTCATAAGCTGGAGACGTGCCTATGAAAGGTGTACTTATGTGTAAGACTGTCAGGTCCCTGATGTCAGTTTGACTGAAGTTTGTTGATTCAGAGGGTTAATAAATAGCTCACAATAATTGTACACGATCTTCATGGCATATCATTAGGTGAGCCAAGGAGAAAGGTGGGAACTGGAGTGCTGCTATTGTCATTCGAAAGGCTAAAACCAAGGAACACCAGCAATAGTACTAATTTTTGTTGAAGCACAGGTCCATTGGCTGAAATTTCTATGGTGCTCATTTTTTAAAAAACCCTTCATCTTCCCCAATATTTGCTGGGTGAGCTGGGTCCTTTCCCAGTGCATTTGGAAATAGCAAGAGATGCTCGAAGCTCCCTGTGATGATCTGAACTCCTCATGTATGTCCTCTTGACACCTTTCTCTTTGAAGTTGCTCTTTTGTTCCTGTTACACTGCTGCTAAACCCCCAGAAGTTCACAAATAACATGGTCTGTCTGGAATGCCGCTGCTTTCCATGTGGGGAAAGCTGCTAATTACCCTGGTGGTGCTTGTCCCAGCCCCAAACGCGTGCCTGCCGATAGACGCTGCCAATGGTCTGTCACTTAGGTGACATAAATTGGCTCCTTGTCACTCCCCATCACCAGAGGTGGCCCCCGAAGTGCTCGGGTGCCGGCTGCTCTCGGAGGTAGGAAGGACATGTGCATTTCTAATTTTTATTTCTTTTTATTTCAGTGTAGAACCCAGGTGAAACAGCTTTACGCTTCAATGTCATTTCCCCTCTTTGTTCCAGTGTTGCAGGATTTAGGTTTTGGTTTTGTCTGAGGGAGTCTGTGAAGCCAATGACTACTTGGTAATTAGAGACCCCATTTGGCTGCATATTAGACGGTTTGGAGGATGTAATTAACTCTCAAGCCGGAATAAAGCTGTACATCTCCAATCATACTTCATCAAAATGGGCCTTGGTTGCTGTTCAGTTATGGGGTTTAATCTGAAGTTGTCTGCAGGCTGCACTTTGAGTATCTGCAGGGGTGTGTGTGTTGTCCTGTTCCCCCACCCCATTCTCTTCAGTCCTTTCAAATCTCAGTTTTTCCCTTTGACAGTCATGTTCCCTGAGAACTGCAGGTGCCCGGGGAAGCCTGGATGGCAGCCTTGGCACACAGAGGTGTGGTGCTTTTACACTGGCTGTTGGGTTTTCAAATCCTCCTTGTCAAAGTCAATGGGAACAGAACTGGGGGAAGCTGTATCCCTTGGAACATCCTTTCTGCCTGTGTTTTCCAGCCATATTAGTCAGGAATCTCATAAATTAGACAGCACTCGGAAACAGGCCTGGAGGTCTGGCAACCTGTGACAGGTGTATCCATGTTTTATAAAACAGCCATGTTTCTGGTGGTGGAAATCCAAGGAATGTACCCTCAGTGTGCTCCTGTGACAGCAAGACCAGGTGGGAAATGTGTCACTGGCTGCAGCAGGAGCAGGTCCCGACTCCACAGTGGTGAGATTTGTCACAGAAAAACAGCTGAAAGATGCATTTACCATGTTTAGGAAAAATCTATTTAGTTGAAGTTATCTTCCCAGGATTAGGTGAAACACAGAATGTTATATGGGCAACCAGTTCTCCAGTCCAGGCTGCTTGGTGTGTGGCAGGACCCCCTGTTAGCTGGGCACCACATGTCTCTCTGTGCTTGTCAGTCAGTCTGGCTCTGGAGCCTCTGCAGCAGCTCTGCCCCTCAGCTCCCTTTTAGGAAAAAAAATATAAAGCAATTTCGCATCTTAGACTAGAATATAAAAAATGTGGTGTTTCCTCCCCATGTAACTCCCTGCTGAGTCCTCTCACTGCCCCCTTGAACTTCTCCAAAATGTTACCTTATGGAATATTTTATTACAGGCATGTGTTTACATCTTTTTTTTAACTTGACTTTTCATTTAAATGCACAATCTGCTCATGATCAAGGTTAGTGCTGTTTTTTCTATGTTTCCATGTTTCTGTAGATGACTCCTCTCCCCAGGATGCAGCTCCTGAGGTCTCTGTGCAGCATCCTCATCCACCCCTCTGTTGCAGCTTAATTCTTCTATCATTTATTTTCTTGATGCATTTTTAATCCTCTGATTTCCTCTCCTGTGAGCTGTCAGAGCCCGTTTCACACACAAATAACCCCTGTTAGGATCCTTCCGTGGCTAATGCATGTCCCACATCAGCTGGCTGTGTTTTCTCCCCCATTCATGGAGCTGTAGGTGTCTCTGCTTTAGTGAATGCTGGGATTTCTCCCCATTGTTTGCTATTTGTACATTGAAGAGAAGAAAGGATGAAAGTCAAAAAACCTCTTCTCTCACTGCTAATTCTTTCTTCAATGTCTTTAACTCCGGGCCTCCTGCCTGGCTCAGCCCCTTGCCAAGTGTCTGCAGTGTGTGCCCAGCATCACTTTTCCACACCCCAATGGGGATGTTTCCAGTGGACTTCAGACACAAACAGGAAAACCTTCCTTCCGGCCGTGGTAAATAACATTACCTCATCTCTGATACTATTCTTTAAAACAGTGCTTTATTAGAATGGGATGTTGGACACAGTGCCAAGAGGTTAAGGAGCTCAGTCCAAGGCCTGTGCACCCTGGAGAATGGGAGGAGTATCCACCCCATCCCTGCACTGCGAGTGAGGAACCTGGCCACGGAACTTGGAGGCTGTAAGTGTGAAGCGCTGGGCCTGGCAGAGAAGGTTCATCCTTTTTAAAGGAATGACAGCAGGGAATTAGTATTCTCCACCCAGTGGATCTATGGAACCGTCTCGTTATATTATGTTGAAAAAGTCTAGGTTTTAGCAGTTTTAATAATTTAATTTTCTTAATCTTTGCGGACTTCCCCTAAGGAGATTGCAAGCTTGCTTGTAGTAGTGTAAGTGACAAATGGGCGTGTTACTCAGTCTCCTTTTTTATCACTTTATTTTGCAGGTCTTTGCAAGACAGGAAATAAAAGGTAAGGCCTAACCAGCAAACAGAATCTTGCTGGTTCTTTGGAGGAAGCCAAGAAGCCACAACAGAGAAGGGAACAAAACCAAAATAGTTTTGTAGCTGCATTTGGGTGCACTAGAAGAGGAGAGATGGTATGGCCAAGTTCCCATCAGAAGGGAGGTGCAGGGAATGAGGCACAAAATTAACACAGTGTGGATCATTTTGGCAATGAAGTTCAGGAGGAAAAATTTTTGAGAGATGATGTTAAAAAGTAAGGGTGGGGATGAGCTAATGGCTGGTGGTAAAGAGGTGGAGAAAGCAGAGTCATGGCTGACTGAGAGGTTACAAACTCAGGTCAGGAAGAGGACAGGGGGTGTGAGCCAGGAGCCAGGGAGGGGGAGCGGGAGAGGAGTAGGGACAGAGCGGGGCCTGGGGACAGGAGGAGGAGCTGTGGGACTTGGGGACTCAGCGGAGTGGAGAACAGGCCATTCGGAGAAGGAAGTAAAAAAGATGATTAAGATGTAAATCGGGATCCTTTGGGGATCTGAGCAAGAAGTAGCACAAAGAGAAGTCAATTCAAGGAAGTAAAGAAATGTGGGAGGCACAGGAACACAGAGTGAGCAGCCTGCGACTGCTCCACAACGGGACGAGCCACAGAGGCCTCACAGAAATGCACTCAACGTGTGTTCTGTTTGTTAATTTTTAAAATTTGTTAATTCTGCTTCATATTAAGTGGCAAACTGATTCTCAATTTTTTGTTTGTTTGTTTGTGGTTTTTTGTGGGGTTTTTTGTTTGTTTGTTTGGGGTTTGGTTTGATTATTTGGTGGGAGTTTTTGTTTGTTTGGTTGGTTGGTTTGGTTTTGTTTTGTTTTGTTTTTTGTCCAAATAAATAGCCTTGAAGCAGAGAAAACAGGATCTGAAGAACTTTCATTTTGTGGATTGTTCCTGCTTAAGGGTGTGCTGAATGAGACCAAGCAGAGGAAGGTGGTTTATTCAGGCTTGTTCTGCACAGAGCTCTCCTGCACAGCAGCCCTGTGAGAGTCTATGTTAACATGTGAGATATCTGGATCACTGATAGTAATGTCACTGGCAATGGTAAGTGCAGATAAAGTTGTTCTAAGGTCTTTGCAGAACTCACTGTAAGCAGGAGGTGGGACATGGAGCTGTGCTGCAAGTTCCTGAGAAAGGTACCCACCAAACACCTTGGTTTTGTACCGAGTGCTTTCCATCAGAGTTTCAATTAAAGTAAAAGGAGATTAAAATGAAAGCACAAAGTCAATCATTGAATTTAATGCATCATCTATTTGCTTTACATTTTGAAAAGTATGAAGTGCTTTACATTTTGTAAAGTATGTTGTGTTCTCCCAGCATAGTCACTGCAGAAAGCAAATTCTGGAACACGGTTGCGGGAAGGGGTAAAGGAAACACAGACCTGAGAAAATGGTTACTCTGACAGTCCCTGATACCTGAAACATTTGTTTTAGTATAATTAAGATAAGCTCGCAGCAATAAAATCAATGGTCCTGCGGTGAACTAATGAGGAAAAGTGTGAGAAGACCTGCTTAATAAAAAATGGAAATTACTTGTCGTGTGAAGAGCAGTTACCACTTCCAGATTGTGCAGGCTCTACTTTTCTGTGCAGTCATTAGTAGAGTACATTCATGCACCAGCACTGTTTACGCTGCAGTTTGTTCCTGTGTCACCTTTCCCTCTGTGGACGGAAGGCCGTGAGTGCCATCCTGGGCCTCGTCACTGCAGACAGGGCGACACCGAGCAGGTCCCGCACGGGGAGCTGAGGACATGGCCACAAAAATCTGAGTCCCCTCATTGAACAGCCAGATCTGTCTGAGGAACAGTTATGGCCAGATGTAATTAATGCAAGGTAGCTCCTTGGCAGTGCAAATTTATCAGAGTAAACAGATGTAAACGACACTGTTTGTCATTTACCAGTCTTGAGGAGGAAAGTTTTAACTGCCAAAGGTAAGTCCAAATAGATTTTTAGATGGCAATGTAACGAAACAATGATCTTGGTCTGTGAAATTTATTTTGCAGTATCTAGATGGCACCGGGAAGCTGAGGTGCATTAATGACCTTTATTCAGCTCGGTGTTGGTGACTTGTTGGATGCCAGCTGGGGCTGGCTGGCTCTACCACACAGTTTAGACACAGATAAACAGCAGGTCAGCCCTTTAGCAACACTTCATTTTTAATGGTGACATTTTTAATGGTCAGAAAGAGCTCTGGGGTTTGCTTTGGACCATGGGGAAGGTTGGGCGCAGGGCGGGCATGCGGGCACTGAGGGGAGCAAACATGGCGGCGGGGCCTGAGGGGAGCAAACATGGCGGCCAGGCCTGAGGGGACACTGCGGTGTAAATCACCCTCAGCTGCCATGGCCGGACCTGCACCCACAGCCCGTGGAGCTCACCCCACATGAGCACAGCTGCCCACTCCTCTGCCCCTCTACAAGCACCCTGGGTTTCAGGCTGTGTGCTGCTACAGAGCAAAGCACGCCATCTCCCACAGCTGCCTCTGAACTGCCACAAAAAGCAGATGAGCTGTGAGGGACGACACTCCCTTTCAGGTAAATGAAAGTCCTGTGTGTCTCCTGCCTGGTTGTGAACACCTCTGTTGGATTCATCATACTGGGGGTTACCTGAAGTGCTGCCACTGTTTGCTTGATAAAAAGCTTTTACCAGATGCTGGCCAGCTCAAGAAAGTCTATTTATATGTTATTCAAAATAATCCTGTAACAAATGTAGTTTTAGCTGTGTTCCAATTGCAGAAAAAGCATTTAACTTGAACACATCAACAGCAGATTATAAAAAGATCGAGCTTTCCTGAAAGATCATGGTTTCTAATTATGTTAGAAAGAAGGAACTCCAGGAAATAGCTGACTCTTCCTAGTAATTGTGAGAAATTTGGGCTTTTTAGGGGCAGGTGCATATAGTCTATGATTCTATGAAATCTGCATGTCTCTACCAATTTTTTCCCAGTGTTCATGGCTGCAGGTAGTCAGGAAGGTACACAGTCATATCATGCAATACTTCAGAACTTCACGTTCTTTGCATTTTTTACATTAATCTTCTGAGTTATTCCACCAAGCAATATGTGAAACTAGGCAAAATGTAAAAGCTGTGCTGGATCATGAGCTATTATATTCATATGATTCTATTTAATATCATTTAATTACTAGAAGCAAATTACCCCCCTCTCAAAACCTCACTGCTTAGAAAGGAATACAATTACAGAATGTTTATGCAGGGGTTCTAAAGTGAATGGCAAAGACTTTATCCCTTAAGTATGAATGCCTGCATACAATCTGAGTACTTCTCTGGGAAGGCTTTAACTGCACACTGATAACAGGGAGTCTTTGTGGAAACAATCATTCACTGGATCACGATCAAAAAGCAAAGGAATAGAATTATGGAGAGACCAACTTCCTCCTTGCTGTGTTCCCTCTGCTGTTTTTGGGGTAATTATGATGTGTTTCTGCATTCCAGAATTTAGGGAAAAGAAGATGGGGGAGGGAAGCGAAGCCCTTTGGTAGTTTTGACTCACAAGAAATGCGTGTTTATTCCCAGAGAGGTCTGTCCCTGTTACTATTCAGAACCCCAACAATACCGTGCTCAGCAGCTGGAGTGAAGCAGGGACTGCCCAGCACATGCAGGGTGCAGAGGGGCATTGGCTCATGTGTGTCTGAGCTGACCATGCTGATTATTATTTTCAGCTTCGTGACTGTGGTTGAGTAAGGAAATATGTGCTGAAGGAAAGGTGCTCATGGCTACCTAAAGAATTGCAAATCTCACTAGTAATCTGCTGAGCATTAGTGATCTTGGGTGAGTTAAATCATCTCCTGTTGAGGCTTTTACATCTTGAGGGAAAAGCTGATCTGTTTTTCGGGTTTGATGGTGAGATACTAAAAAAGCCATTGTTTAGGCTGACAGCTCTATAAACGGTGGTGAGAATTGTTAACCTGATTCTTCTGGCCTGTGCTGGTAGAAATTAGTAGTTACTGAGTGCTATTGGGTGTCTTGTGGCCTTGGAAATGAAACTGTGGACAGTTTCTGAATGTAGCACATTTTCCATGGTCTTGTAGGTACATTTTTTCCTAAGCTTAGTTTACTCTATTCTTAAGCCTGTTTCACCCATCCTTGGTCTGATCTATTGTTATCCAGATTCAGAATGTCTTTTCAGCAGCATTGCATACCCGAGCACAAGACAGGAGGGATGGGCAGGAGACCTTTTCCTTAAAGCTGGAGATCCCTCCAGGAGGTACCAGCCCTCAGTGAGGAGTCCATGCTTTGTTCATTTGTGCCAGAGCCCTCGGGCTGTCAGACACTGAGCACCCTTTCATCCCTAGGACTTCAAAGTGCTGCTCAGAACTGGGCAGAACAGGCTTTGAGTTAGATCTGTAATTGAAATGGATTTATTAGGCTGCTCTACCTCATCTTTTCAAAGCAGGCTGTGCATAACCTTACAGCAAATGGATGTGTGTTCTGGTAGAGTATGGTCTCCTGTGGAATTACTGCAGCTCTTTTTAGCTTTCCATAAATGCACCTTCCTGGAATCCCATTTGAGAGGTGAATGAAACACTTCCTTATCTCCCATTACATATAGTTCAAGAATATTCAAGGTTCTCAAAGCATGGGAAGTGAATAGTTTCATTGCAAACTTGGCCGTAGTGTTTTTGACATGGCCAGCAGATTTCATTGCCTTTATCCAGAGGAGCTGAGAAAATTGTGATCAAAAAGCCAAACCTGGAGTTGTATTCTGGTGGTGCAGCTGCCTCGCTGACAAAAGATTTTCAAAGTTAAAAGCATGATTTGCTTAAGTGTGAGTTAAAACTCCTACCCCAGAACTGTTGCTGTGATGGAGGGCAGCCCCTGCTGAGGGGTGAGATGTCAGGCTTTGAGCTGGTGCCGGGGCTGGCTGGGATGGACACCCGACCCTGCAGCCTGGTCCGTGCCCTCTTGGGATCTAAACCAGTGGCCCCTCCCCACGGCAAGCGACACGGGAGGGCTAATCTTCAATCACATGTTGCAAGGAGCAGCTGTCTGAGTACTCCAGGCTGGAATATTCTGGTGGAAATACAGTGTTTCTATGCAAGTTTTAAAATGTAAGGCAGCCTGGTTGCCTGAGGTTGAGAGTGAGGGTCTGGCTTCCATGCCCTGCACTGAGCAGCCCCTCTTGGGTTTCACCTGTGAGATTCCTGGAGAATATGTAACAGAGGAAAATTGCAGTTAGAAACAGTCAGGGTTGATCTTGAATATGTCAGGAAAGGGAGTGGCCAGCAGTGCCACAGGACTTGGGTTCTTTAAAAACCCTATGAAACAACTTTGACATTTTCAGAATTTCAGCTGCTGGATACAGACACCTGTTAACCCCAGCCAGGCACTGGCTGAAATTGGTGGCTATGGAATGGCAACAATCAGCTGCAGCCAGAGTTGAGCTCTGGCAAAATAGTCAAGAATTCCTCAAGCTGATAGTGAAGGGAAAAAAAGGAGAAAAGATAATCTGGGATCCATTACTTACAGGAAATTGGGAAAAGTATACATCTCACTGAGAAGCCAGGAAGCAAGTATGCACATGTATGTTCTTCCTGCTGAATATTCTTAGCATTCCCAATCCATGAGAAGTTCTGGAAAATATTGATTTGACTGCAGTTCAGACTCAGTTTCTCCCAAGCCAAAAATGCTGCTCTTCTGCCAGATGTGTGAGCAGAGTCCCACCAGGAGCTAAGGCAGGAATGTTCCTGCTGGTGATGTTTGGTCAGTGCTGCCATCACTGACCTGGCTCAGCCTGAAGCCGTGTTGGGCAGGGCAGACGGCAGCACCGTGTCCTGGGCTGAGGGTTTTACTTTGGAAGGGAATGTTTGCACCTTTGCATTGAACCAGTTGCTTCTCAAAACCTTGGTCTGTGGCTTGGAGGGGTTATAAGGTTCCAAGCAGCAAAATAAAAAGCGTCTGTTGTTGTTTTACCAAAGGTGGTGTTTTTCCTTTGGAGGCTTTGCAGGTCTCCGTGAGATCCCGAGTTCCCTCGCAGCTGTTTTGCAGGGGTTGCTAAGGTGATTTGGTGGGAAGGAGATGCACTGGTAATTTGCTGTTAAGTTGTTTACAGGAGAATATGAATGAAATTTCACCGCCCCCAGCAAGGCAACCGTCCCTCTCTGAGATGATTCCAGAAGGTTTCAGTAGAGAAGAAAATGACTGTACAAATGCCCAGTTGGCCCCCCAAGGATGATAAAATCCAATCTAGATGTCTGCAGGGTAGAGGCAGAAGCATTTTCATCTCATTTCACCTTTTCATCTTTTCAAACAGAATGTGAAACATTTTAATTTTTGCTATCTTTTCTCTGATTGTTTTTAACTGTATTTCTACATGTGAATGGTTTGGCAAGTGTTT